TCTGTGAAGCTCCACCACAATCGCCACGTGACTGCTTGTTGACCTCCACTACTGAACCAGTGTGCTTTTCTGACCCCTGATTTAAAGGTCATGGCTTTTCACCCTGTCTTTTTAACTGCCTAATCCATTTTGTATACCAGAGGCTAAACTGTTTTAGCCAGGACACCAAGCAAGGCATGTCAACAGGATCCTTTTCTTGCAAAATTTCCAGGACCAGAGGTTGCCCCAGGATCCAGCCTGATAAGGATCCCTCACTTATCCAGCAGAAAGGACATCAAGATCCACTGTGCCTCTTTCCCCACCTATGCATGACATTGTTAGCCAGGGTCATCAGTCAGCGCCACACTCTTTTATAGAGCTCTCCATTTTGGTCAAAAGGTGATCATTAAAAAAAAAAAAGAAAGAAAAGGCCAGGTGGTGGTGGGTAGGCAGGCAGACCTCTGAGTTCGAGGCCAGCCTGGTCTACAGAGTAAGTTCCAGGAGAGCCAGGAATAGAAAGAGAAACCCTATTTTTAAAAAATCAAGAAAGAAAGAAAGAAAGAAAGAAAGAAAGAAAGAAAGAAAGAAAGAAAGAAATTTGTATTTCCAGAACTAAAACAACTTGTTTTTCTACTTTTCTGCCTTCTCTGTCCCGTGACCCCCAGTAAAAGGTCACAGAAGATGTTTATCATCACCTAACATTCTTTAACACACCACTCCTGAGGTTCCTCTGGCATAAAATGAGTCAGAGAGGCAGCCAGACTTGACTTCAACAGGCTGAGCATGCTTTATTGGAACATTGAGAGACTTTTCCACAGGATGAAAGTTGAGCACATTTTAGAGGGGCTAGGGGACAGGTACACACACACACACACACACACACACGCATGCACACACGCACACAGGTGTCTACCAAGAAGTTAGAGATTTTTTGGAGTTTACTAGAGACAAAAACTAGTGGGTTGTTTTTGATACCCGGATACCCAGATATACTGTTTCTACAAGCAGGGCGGACCTGTTGGGCTAGCAAGCAATTCTTTATAGCTAGGGGTATTGTCAGATGCAGCCTGACTCAGTCTCTCACGATCTGAAGCTATTATGCAACAAGCCCTAGCAATGCCAACCATGGCCCCCAAATGGGAACTTGTCAATCTTTCCACCCCATGCACTTTCTGCTCTCTGAGTACCCTAGACTGCAAACAGAGCGGACCTTTTTTATCAGAGTTCCCTCACAGGTTTTTCTTCTGAAGAACAAAGAAACTCCTGTTCAGTCCTGAAGCCATTTCCTTGTCTGTCTTTCCTTCTCCTTGACCTTACAATAAGAATATTTTTTTTGTTACAAACTTATGTGTTACCTCAATAAACGGAGACCTTGAACCACACACTGCTTTTATCTCGATACACTGTTACAGCGCACATAACTTAGAGGTGATCTGACTTCCGGTGAAGTGTTTAGAAGTACATTGCCTTTCTAAGATGCTTGCTTTGGAAGATCAGCCGCTCTTGACGATATTATAAGAGTTTTCCAAACTTAGTTTCTAGAAGGATCATTTGGCGACCCCAGACCCACATCATTCCACCAGGAAAGAAATGCAAAATTAAAATTTCAGTTAGTTAATATTTAGTTAGGTGTGACTGAGTCCAAGTCTTACATAGCTAGTTTTTTCTCAGTCTTAAATTCTATAGTTGTCAAGGTATTGCATTTTAATGAACCACTTTTTCAAAGGAAGAAGGAAAAAGAGGCATCAGCTTCTGTATATCAATGTAGTCCAAAAATCATTCCCCAAACACATTCACATACATGTTCACATGTACACGCACACACACACACACACACACACACACACACAATTAGGAATGACAAAGAAAAAATAGTTAGCATTGTAAACTCAAAAACAATGCAAAAATGTAGGGGTCAGAGGTCTGATCCTAAGTTACTTTTAGGAACTCTATGAATAAGTCAGGTTTTGCTTCACGCTACCTTAGAAAGCATCATCGATTCACAAATCAGTCATGCAGAAGGGCACCAGGATGGCACAGATTCACTACTTCCCATGACTATACAAACCACAGAAGAGAAACCCTTGACAGCCTTGTTTTGTTTTGTTTTGTTTTCAAATGACTTAATGGAATCCCAATGTTTCAACAGGAAAAAAAAAAGATGAACACATTTCACCCTTCCCTGTCATACCAAATAGCTCAACACAACTCCCAATTTGCTTAGAAGGGCTTCCAAATTGGCAAAGTCTGTTCTATAGATAGCGTCAAATAGTTAAACGGAAATGACTCAAACAAAAAAACAAAAAACCCCAAAAAACTCCCAGAGACAAAGCCAGTTACCAAATGACAGTGACCCAAATAGTTGAAAAGAATTAAAGCCATTCTAAGGAGCCTCGGACCGATGAAGACAGCTCCAAGATACACAGGGAGAAACTCATTCTCCAGGGTCTGTCACCGTGTCCAAATCCGTGTTTCCCAGCGTGACCAAGCAGAACAACAGAGCAGTGGCTAACCACGGAAGTAGGGCGATCAGAAAAGTCCTTCGGGGCTGGGGAGACGGCTCAGGCATCAAGAGCATGGGCTGCTCTCCAGAGGAGTTGAGTTTGGTTCCCAGCTCGACACTCCAGGTCAGGGGATCTAGCACTATCTTCTGGCATCCACTGGCATGTGCACATATGTAACAAATACTCGGAAATTAAAAGTTTAAAGTGTTTTTTGGAAAAGTCCTTGGAATAAATGGTTTCAGTAGCTGTGCTGGACTGCTGGATCTTCCTCTCTACTGAGGAGCAGCTTGCTGTAAGGGGCTGACATCCAAATTGTGTTTTTTTTTTCTCCTAGTGTTAGTCCCATCAGTTGAGAATAAGACTACTACCACAGTCTTAGGGCATATTTGAAGCAAGCTTTATCTGAATAATAGCCAGGAGAATGGGCTCTGGCCAGGACTGTTCAGGTGGAAGGCTTACCACAGCCCCTGGCATCCAGATATCCAGAGTCTGGAATGTTCAGGTGGAAGGCTCACCCCATCCCCTGGCATCCATATATGCAAAGAGTCTCATGTTTGGGTGGAGGCTCCACTCCAAGCCCCTACCCCCATCTCTCTCCAAATCCTGCTGCATCTCAGGAAGCCTGCCAAACGATGACCCTTCCACCAGAGAAGTTCAAGACCACTCTCACAGGGCATTTAAACTGCTCCCCCAGAAAACAAACATGTGGTTTTCTGGTCTTCTTTTTCTGTCTCATCTCTTTGGGGGCTATAAAGTCAGTCGGGAGTGTTGTATCCATTAAACCTGGGCTTTTTCTAATTTGGTTTGATTTGGTCTGATTTGGATTATTGTGTCTGTGGGGAGGCTTATTGGGGTGCAGAAACTTCTCAAGGACCCCTCCAGAGTTCCCAGGAAATAGCTACAGGTCATGTTTTTGCGGGGACTTAAAAAGGCAAACCCACAATTCCCGCATTTCCTGTCGGGTTCAATCAGTGGAAGCGGACGTCCTGATGTGTTTTGTGACTACCTACCTCCTGCCTACATGTGATCAAGCACATTCGGTACAGATGGGTCAAACAAGCATAGGCCAGATAGGAACTTATTCCTAACGGTCTTAACTGCAAGTAGAACCCGGAACCTGAAAGGCATATTTCTCCTGTTTTGCACTCTGGCTATGGCTAGTGTCAAATTTGTTACCACGTTGTCAGAGCTGCCTGGACCCATGTTTTTACCTTAATAACTGTTGTAACATTACTTTTTCTGAGTCCTGTCTTCATACTTTAAAAGATCCATGCTTTCTACCACCTTCATCAAATAATTTTCCCATTATTCAGCATAAGTTGCGTTCCAAAATTCTTGTTTTTAAACGCGTAAATGGCTATCTTAGATCCTTCATGAGGAGCTTCATTTCTGGGTACATCTACTTTAAATCCAAACTCTTAGAGCGTAAAAACAAACTTCTTCCTACTAGGAAAAAATAACAACTGGGTTCAATCAATCGTATTATTATTTTACTATACTAATTAAAATGTCAAGATGCGACAAATGAAAGCCTCGGGGAAATGCGGGGAAAGGGCTGTCTTCTTGCATATACACCGAGTGCAGCAGAAACAACTTGTCAGCTGTCATACGGGGAACACTGGTATCAGGTATCCAGGGAATTGGCCCCAGCTTGACTCAAGGAAATTCTCCTCTGTATAACATTGTCTGTTAGTTCAATTTAATAAGCATTTAATGAGCAAAGCATGTGCAAAGTGTGTTCTTATGCGATCTCTTAGGCGTAGGGGATGAGAGTTCTAACTCCACTCACGTATGTGCAGGACAGTGATGCACAGAAGCTGCACAGTGCCTCGCTGGACCTGGAATGCAACAGGTGTCTTTTCTGTTGCTGTTTTATACAACGGTCTCTCACTCTGCAGTCAAGGCTGGCCTGGAATTCACTATGCTATCCAAGCTGGCCTGGAATATATGGAGCAGAAAGAAGGAGAGAACCAACTCCCCGAATGTGTCCCCTGGCCTCAACACACCCACTGTGATGCACACGCTCACAACAGACACACACACACATATTTTTTTAAATAAAAAGTTAACAACAAAACTAGAAAATGTGTTACTCTCAAATCCAGAATTTTAAACAACTCTCCAAGGGGGAGCCCAGTGCTCTATTTACTCTCTCAGACCTCGATGCTGTTCTTTTATTTGAATATGCAAATAAGAAAACCGTTTGCATTAATTTCACTCCGTAATTATCGGTTTCCAGTTCACAGATCACAAATCATTTGTGATTACAAATAGGTAAAGTAAAGCCCGTGCAGAAAGCTGGGGCTGACATGATGAATCCTTTCAGAGTAAAAGTGGTCGTGGAGAGACTGAAGGGAACCTTCTCCTGCGACATTGACTAGTTCAAACCGCAAATAATTTGAGAAAGTATAAGCCGCCACTGGTTTGAATGAGACTCATCCCCCACCTTCTTAGGCTTCTGACTACTTGGTCCCCAGTTGGTGATGCTAGCTGGACAGGTGTAGGAGGTGTTGGCGGATGACCTGTGGGGAGTGGGAGCGAAGCTTTGAGGTTTCCGAAAGACTTGTGCCATTTGAACCTAGCGCTCTGATTCCTTTCTATGATTTGCTGCGGAGTTCTGCCTTCATGGACCCTTACCCGCCCCCTGGAACCGTAAGCCAAAGAAGCCCTTTCTTCCGTAAGCTATCTGGGTCACGGTGTTTTATCTCTGCAGTACAAAAGTAACGAAGACAAAGCCTGTATTGTTCTCCCTCCTTCCTGCTGGAACCTGGACAACTTGTTCCCCATCGTCCTGGAGGGGAACAAACGCAGAACTAAAAACCAACCTGTCATTTCCTGCATGGAGATTTGCCTGAGACCTAGCCTCCAGCTTATTTCAGCATGGCGTCTTGGGATCAGAGTCGTGTGACAGAGGAAAAGGAACAGTTCGTATCATTTTAGCCATTAATTTTAATTAAACTAAATTATGCTTTAATTTATGTCACGGACAGTTATATTTTAAATAGTCACGTATTTAGAGGCTTTAGATCAGTTGAGCTGCTTGCGCTCTGGAATGCCCTTTATCTGCTGTACACAAGCTTTCTTTTCACAACGTGTTATGTAAGTACATTCTTAGGAAAATGGAAACAATACTGAGACGCATATCTGCGATATGTCACTTCAACATAAAACAATGTTGCTTATTCAGGGCATGCATCCATCTGTGTGCCATGCATGACTGCACAACATAATTCTGGTCAGTGAAGTACAAATTCAAGTCTGCTGGGAGGGGATTAGATGTGAGCTCTCAGCTGCCTCTCCAGTCCATGCCTGCTTCCATACGCCCTGGAATGATATAATGGATTCTCCTCTGAAATTAAAAGCAAGTCTGCAATGAAGTGCTTTCTTATGTAGGGTTGTGTGGTCTTCACAGCAACAGTAACTAAGTAGCTAAGACAGTCCTGATTGTGGAGTGTCTCCCCATAGGCTCAAACATTTGGACACTTGGTCCCAGCCGGTGATGCAGGTTGGGAAGGCTTTAGAACATTTAGGAGATGAGAAGCCCTGGTGGAGGAGATGGGTCACTGAGGGTGGCATAGGAGGCTGTGTATCTCAGTTGCCTCTTTGACCTCTGTCTTTCGAGGCAATGTGGCCAGCCAGCCTCTCACTTCTGCTACGGAGCCTTCTACACCATGATGGGATGAATGCTTTTGGACTGTGAACCAAAAAAAAAAAAAAAAAAAAAAAAAACAAAAAACAAAAAACAAAAAACAAAAAACCCTATATTCCTTAAATTGCTTCTTGTTAGGTATTTTGTTGCAGAATCCAGAAATTAACCGATACAATGTAAACAATTATATTGATATGCAAACAATTGAAAATAATTTCTACTATTATATATCATCCCTTTTATTTTTGGTAGAGAAAAATGTGGAATCATTTGATGATTTTTGTATCGTTTGGGGTTTAGGGTGAAGACGCTCCAGCATTTGAGACTTGCTCTACTGTCAGTTTTTCTCACTGCGACAAATAGATGGCATGAAAACATAAAAGAAAGAAAGAGTTATTTCATCTAGAAAGTTCCAGTTCGTATTTGCTCTAAGCCCCTGGAAAGGAAATAAGTATGCAGGGTTAGAGGTGCAGGGAGGAGCGAAGGGAAGCTCACTGCTGCCAATAAGTAGAGCAAGAAAGTAACTGGGGACAACATACACCTTTCAAGTCACACCCTTTAGTGGCGCTGATTCCTCTGACGAGGCCCCACCTCCTGGTTTTTTTTTTATCACTTCCTAGCAATATCATTAAAGTATGAATCCATACCTGGATAACACATTGATTAGCCAAAGGCCCCCATGATCCAACCGCTTCCCCACATCCTAACCTCTGAGCATTGCTTTGGGAACCAAGGAGCTTTGAGAGCAGATGTGTGTGCTTTTAAAAGGGGCAGGAAAGAACATCTTGTCTTTTATAGTGTGTCAGAAGTACGGTGTATTCAAAATGAGCAAAACCACATCGCTGAAACGCGGCGAATACTGTCACCTTGGTGATAATCACAAGCGTCTGTGTGGAGAACCACAGGAAGGGGAAAGGGCTGGTGGTTGGCTCGTTCCTCACAAGCAATGAGTACTGGCGTTCTAGTTTGCCTTTCTGGCTTTCAAATTTTCGGTGATGAGATGTTTCAAAAAATTACTTGTGTCCTCTCCTTTTTTAAGAGTCTAGAATTCAGATTTCAGAAGGATATTTAAGTTACCTCGCTATGTTGTGTGCACGCTGAGATCACATAGTCAATAAGGCGTTGATAAGTCACTCAAGGAAACAGAAAACAGTTCAACTCAAGGCAAAGGACTCCCGTGGTATTGGCTGTAGATTAAGAACAGCTCTGCACTTTTTGTTGTTTAATTGGATTAGTGTTGTCTGGTGGCTTTATCCAGCTGTTAATTAAGCACCAAGGCAAGTACAATCATCAACTCCTTCAAATCCCCAGGACACTGATTTAGTTATTGTTTCAATTTACTGAACCAAGCTCTCTAATAGACAAGGCCGTGAAAATACACCTCGTGTTTCCTTCGTAATATGTATGTTTCGTCCTCTATATGATTGAATGGAAAAAGGGATTCTACTTGAGTTCCTCATTCCTTTTAATCTGAATTAGCAGATGTTTTATGTGTGCTACAGCCAACTATTTAATTTGTAATATGGAAGAGCCTATCATAGCAATTTATGTTTTGCTATATTGTGGTCTTAATTTTCTCCAAAATGTTAGCATAAAAATTGAATGCATTTTATTTTCCAAGAACATGATTGAGCTCATAAAATTGAAGTATTATTTTTAAATAGGGCTTTTTCTTTTCTTCCCTGAAGAGTGATTGAGGGAAACAAAAAAGGGAAGTAAAGAGAAGAGGGAAGTAACGGAGCAATGAAACTCTCGGCGTGCCAAAGAACAAGACCCACCGTGAGAAAAGATTGTGACACACGGGAGAATTAGTTTACACAGAAAACATTACTTTTTACTAGCATAATGTTATTCATACCATACATACACACACACACACACACACACACATATGTATATAAAACATTTAATGCATATATTCATATGATTTTTGCAGAAGATTTGGATAAATGGCAGGACATACATATAAGATATACTATATGTATTTTATGTATTTGAATTTTGTAATTGAGGCAGTGTACTGGATAATTTCATGTCAACTCGATGAAAGTTAAAGTCATCTGAGAGGAGGGAACTTGAATTAGAAAATGTCTCCATAAGATTGGGCTGTAGGCATCCCTGTGGGGCATTTTCTTAGTTATTGATGTGGAAGGACCCAGTCCGTTGTAGGAGGTACACCCTTGGGCTGGTCCTCCTGGGTTCCATACAGAAGCAGATTGAACAAGCCAGGGGAAACAAGCCAGTAAGCAGCGCTCCAAAACGGCCTCTGCATGAACTCCCTCCTCCAGGTTCCTGTCCTGTTTGAGGTTCTGTCCTGACTTCCTTCAGTGATGGAGTGTGATTGTGAAAGTCTAAACCAAATAAACCCTTTCCTCCCCAACTTGCTGTTAGTCACTGTGCTTGATCACAGCAAGAGTTAACCCTGACTACGGCAGGCATGATGGGAAAATTATGGAGGCGTGAGAACACCAAGCCTTCCACCCTGAAAATCTAGTTGAAATCTTTAATCAAACAAGAAGCAAGAATCTCAGTACAATTACCAACCGTTGAAGGTCTTCTCCCGTTCCAGCTGTAAACATACAATTTCCTAGGCGTCTCACCAGGAACCACATTTGCATTGGAAACACACACTCTAAACCCCTTGTGCAAGCCTAGTGGGACAGTCATTACAGAGATGGCCCCTGCATTGATTGAACACATTAGTGACGAACTTCAAGTTGCCCAGAGTGCATCGGTGTCAGACGAAGGAAGGAAATCAAAACTCTTCCCCTTGGAGTCAGTGAACCAAGTGTGAGAACAGGCTTGAGTTCTCTGCTTCATGCGCTCTGTGTTTTCTCTCCTCTCTCTGTCTATTATGTGAGTCTGATCTGTGCCTGTTTGAAGGCTGTCTGGAGAAGCTTGCCCCGTGTCTGTCCCTGTTCTTGTATGTTTTCATGTGTTATGTGACTCTGTGTGTGTGTGTGTGTGTGTGTGTGTGTGTGTGTGTGTGTGCGTCCCTCACAAAAGGCTTCTTTCTGCCTTTATTGAATAGCCTAGAGAGTACAAGGAAGGAATGGCACATTCCTTTACAGAAATCTTTAACAGAGTTTCACAGTGGATTAAGTCATTGACTCCAACTGACCTAGACAACAAACAGCACTCCAAACATCACTGTTGGTCAACCAATATCCATAAAGGGATGTTCATTTTAGAAGATTGCTTTTTAACCTCGGTATTCGCTGCTTTCAGCACATGATACAAATGCCATTTTCTGGGTCAGGGACATCAAAGAATACATAATTTAAGATTATAGCTATGTATAAGCTTAGGCTGTAAATGTGGATGGGATATCCAAGGTTGATTGTTGCATTATTCCCTAAAAGGCAGGTTAGACAAACAGTCTGAGTACACAGTAGAATAGCGGTCTTAAGTGACCTCAATGTGTATTATTAACTTTGATTGTGAGGTCCAGTCAAAGTGCCAGTCTCTTAGAATATAAGAGATATTTTCATAATATTGTATTGCCACACTCTCCGTGTCTTATTTACAGCTAACCAGACATGATGCTCTTTGCTTCGTACTGTTAAACTTGGGATAACTCCCTATGAAATAAAAAGTAGCTAAAATATAATCCACTCACAGGATTGCTAGGTGATTGAATGTGAGCAAATGACAGCTAAATAAAACCTTCATGAGCTTTTGTCTACCACAATTGTAGCCAAAAAGTATATAGGTTATTCTGTTACTGTATGACATTTTTGATATTTTGATCATTTCAGCTCTTGTTTTTTGCTCTAATTTTCCCCATTATTCCTCACTTGAGAGTTACATTTCAACTTTCAATTCATGTTAGAAGCATCATCCAGAAATGCAGTAAATTTCTAGATATTATAGCAAAAATATAGTAAAAATAAATAATGTCTTAAAAGTATAAAACTATGCTGTAAAGAAAAGATAAATACAAAATAATAATGGTTTTCGGTGAATAAGATAAAAAGTTACTTTAGCAGAAGTCTATGTATTCACGAGGCCTAAAACTACCTTTCTCCAAGTTCCTCTGGTTTGTCCAGCTTGCTACCAGGAGCTACAGTGTTATTTTTTGTTTAGTATACATAGGTTCTGTTGAACTTGTCCATATGGGGTTTCATGGTCTAAGTTGATGAGGATGACCAGGTCTCTCTCTCTCTCTCTGCCCTTCCCCCATAAATATAAAAATAAAAATACATAAGGATATCTTTGCACAAGAAGAATTTGGCTTCCGACATAAACACCTTCGATTTTAAGAAACGTGTTAGGCTCCCTTTGGTTCTGAACACCCTGCTTAGAGGCAGTAAAAACGGCCTTACGTTCATCACAGTCTTTCACACATACCTGCTTTTTAACTTTTTGTCGTTGTTGTTTTGTTTCTTGGGACTAGGTTTCTCTATGTAGTCCTGGAACTGGAACAGTAGACCAGGCTGACCTCAAACTCAGAGAGATCCGTCTGCCTCTACCTTTGAGTGCTGAGACTGAAGGCATGGGCCATCATGCCTGGCTCATGCTGGCGTTTTAGGCATCCGGTTCGCCGCAGACCTCCACAGGCGCCAGGTGGCAGAAAAAAAGCAGGAATTTTCCCACGTCTGGAATGCTGAGCCTGCAGATCATCGTGCAGACATGGTGAGGTACAAATCCTGTTCTCCTATAGGGATTTCTTTAGCAGCTGATATAGTTGGGATGTGGCTTGGGTATGTGTTGGAAGCTTGGCCCCTGGTCTGGCAGTGTTGACGGTAGAACCGGTAAAAGGGTGAGTGAGTATCGTGGAAGGTAATTAGGTTACGGGGGTGGTGTGAGGTTTGGGCAAAGAGCAACTCAGGCCATGCTCATTAGGTCCTTCATAGCTTGATCAGCAATTTCCACTGTTACTGGGTGTGGCCGTGTGAATAGAAATGGCTCCCACAGACTCCTGTGTTTGAAAGTTTTGGTCTCCAGGGAGCAGCACTATTAGGAGGTGTGGCCTTGTTGTAGGTATGGCTGGTGGGAGGAAGTCACTGAGGCTGGACTTTGAGGTTTCAAATGCTTAAACCAGGCTAGGTGTCCCTCGCTTCCTGCTGGCTGCCGATCCAGATGTAGAACTCTCGGCTCCTTCTCCAGCATTATGTCCATGTGTGCACCCCTATGCTTCCCACCAGGAAGATAACAGATGAAACCTCTGAAACTGAGGTTCCCAGTGAAATGGTTTCCTTAGCCGGGCCATGGTGGCACACGCCTTTAATCCCAGTACTCTGGAGGCAGAGGCAGGCGGGTCTCTGTGATCTCCAGATCATCCTGGTCTACAAGAGTTAGTTCTATGACAGGCTCCAAAACTATAAAAAAAAACCCTGTCTTGGGGGTGGGAGGGGAGGGGGAAAGGAATGGTTTCCTTTATAAGAGTTACCATGGTCATTGTGTGTCTCGTCACAGTAATACTTCACGTCTCCATAGGTAGAAATCCTAACTACGACACTGGGAAATGACAGCTATTCTAATGAGAGTCTGTGATTCTCACTTCATCAAAAGAAGGCCATCAAGATTCTAAACAGTAGGGATTACAGGTAGCACATTCAGAGTGACAGATTTACATACATACATACATACATACATACATACATACATACATATAAAACAGTAGGGATTACAGGTAACACAACCAGAGTGACAGATATACATACATACATACATACATACATACATACATACATACATACATATACATATACAGATATACATACATACATACATACATACATACATATAAAACCATAAAACCAAGGACTGAAATGTCCTCTTGCTGCAACCGAGGAATATGAGAAGAGCAACGGGCTCCTCATAAAGCACCTTGCAAGGGACTTCTTTCCCTGCTCTGAAATTGAAAAGGGACCCTCACTCTGCCTAATGGCCCTAACCTCTCTCAGAGGTCCTGCGGTCTACTATCTACGGTGTCAATAATTCTAATAAACTGCTTACACAAAAGGTAATCTGCATCAGTGTCCCCTGGAACCCTTAATATGAGACCTCAGACAGGTTTCCTGAGCTGGTTTCCTCAGGAATAAGCGAGTCTACCCCATGAGTCTGGCTCCGTGTGCGTGCAGCCTCGGCCCTTTCTACTTTGCCGTGCTGTGATGCAGCCAGGGGCCCCTCACCAGTAGGATGACGTCATTTTCTTAAACCTTGGGAAATAGGAACTAAATAAATCTTATTTCTTTATTAAGCACCCAACCTCAGATAATTTGCTCCAGCAACAACGAAACAACAACGGCCTGCGAACAGGTAGCTGCAGACAGCTTATCAAGGAAATAATTCTCTTTCTTATTTCTTATTCTGTGGGTTTTATTGCGTTCCTGAACAAAATTCCATTTTGCAGGAAGATGAAAGGCTTCTCTTAAAATCAACAAGAAACCTGTGGCAGATGAATGGCCAGTGTGCAGAGACAGTGTGCTATGAGCCATGAGTGAGTCAGAAGCAACCTCTCCTGGCCTTGAAAATTCTATAATCTATTTTTACAGAGAGGGAAAAAAAATCTGATAATTCTGTAGTATTTTGGCAGCATTTTCTGGTAGGTGACAGGCATTCATTTCGTTCTTGTCATAACGACAAGAAAGACAGCTTTATATATGTGCTTATGCTGGTGGGGGCTAATAGCTACTTCCTGAAGTACACATGGGCTTTCTGCAACTCTATCTCTGCAGTCCTTGGGGACATAATTTTTGGTGATAATAGGAAAATTAGAACCCCACATTCAGGTTAAAACTCAATCTTGAACGTGCTGATCAATGCCCATTTAAAAAGGAGCTAGTTACAGATGGTGCATCTTTAATTCCTCTGGCTACAAAGTACTCAATCCCATGTCAACCTCTAGTGAAACAGTATTCTCACTTCTTACTCATATCCTAATTTTTAGGTAAAATAGAAACAAAAATAGATACCTTTCTATTCTCAAAATAGAAATACCTTTCTGTTTCTCAAAAACAGAAAGGAGAAGAAAAATTCCAAGACAATCCCCACACTGACTGCACCCCATTCAGCTTCCTAAGGGTGAGTGCAGAAGGGGCGATGGTGGAGTTCTCTTTAGTGACATGGCTGTGTCTCTCTTCCCTCTCCACATACAGTGCTGGGAAGAGAGAGGGGACATTTGGGACTCCGATTCCAAAGCCTCTGCCCAAGAGTAGAATTTGGAATCACGCCCGTATCTCTAGAACAGCTCCGAAAGTGCCGGGGACTGGCACTGTGTTTTCTACCCCAGAGCCTGGGGACTGAAACTGCCCTGAACAGTAGCAGTTCACCCGAGGAAGAGTGGGGAGTCTGGAGTTAGAAACCATGGCGAAGGACGGAGCCTGAGCGGAGAGTGGTGCCCTGTGGGAAATCCATCCCATGAGTCACAGCTGGACTTTAGCAGCAAGGTTATTGAAAGCTCAGGCTTTGGTTGTTTGCCAGGTAATGGTATTGGGTAGAACCCCTCCCCCCTTCATGTACATCACCCCTAAAGCCAGGAAAGTTGGGGACACAAGCAGCCAACGGAGGAAGATTGTTGCGGAGATAGAAACCACCAAGAGACAGCTGGAACTCTATCAAGTCGTGACTTTTATTTTTAGCTGCTACTGCCCTCAGTTCCCAGGGTCCGGTTTGGAACTGAGGCCCAGCTAAAAAAGCGAGGGCCACTGTTAAAGGCAAAGGCCACAATTTATTCTTGCATAAGTGTACTTCTGAAGGTGGGAGAGAACATTCATCTTTTGCATTTCTGGAATTCCTGGTATTGTCTTAGCCCTCTCAGGTTGGTCACAGGGCTGGCACCACACCTAAGATGGAGTCCTCAGCTGCTACCAAATGTCTGTCCCTTTCCTTCTGAAAGGCCCTTTGAGTCTCCTTTGGATACAGAGGAGCTGACTCCTTACTCTAGGTTCTTGGGATCTAAGTGAATCTCACTCGAGGCTAGGTAAGACCCATTTCCTTCTTCAGTTGTTTTCCTTAGAATATCACAAACATCTTCTACATTGGGCTGTGAGTCTAGTTATGCACCGCCATAATTATAGTTCCGTCCACATTGTACATACACCACTGTGTGTCTAACAGTGGTTCCATAATGTTTAATCACCTAACAATGTAGCCATCTAAATTAGATAAGTACAGCCTGCAACTTACACAATGATGATGAAATAGCCTACTTATTACGTGCTTGGGGCCAGAGAAGAAAAGAATTGTAGTCATTTCTCCACCTACAATACACTCAGCTTAACCTAAGTGATTCAGCCTGGGGTAGAGCTGATAGATAATTGATAGAAGCAAAGACCAGGTTTTATTTATATGCCTGGAAATGAGCAGCAGACAGTTGGGAGCAAGGCTGACATTTATAGGGCTTCAGTAGGCAAGTCTGTCAAGTTCTAATGGGTTCTTGCAGCGTGATTCAGGTGTGTGGTTTCCCATTCTGTTTGGAAACTCCCCTAAAGGTCTACAGCCTCTGAATTTGTGCTTCCCTGAAGAAATCAGGAAACACCCTTCAAGGAAGTTGAAAGGAAGCTGTATCATGGGACATTTGGCTTTAGTGACTTAGCTCTCTGCAGTCGGCTGAGGGTCAGATACAACTTCCTTCCGAATCTCTGTAACTCAGAGCTTGCAGTTTAAAATATCCCAGTCCCTGAAGTTCTAGTGACTTGAGCTATAAAAAAGAGCACAACACACTGCTTCCCAGGGGAAAGGGCAATTGCACAATAGTCGAACTGTATGAAACTCAAAGATGGCCCAGGCAGCTGAAGCTTAAATATACAGGGAAGAGAGAGGTGAGCTTCGAAGGCAACTGGGGAGAAGGATTGATTTTTAAAGGCAGTAAATGGAACTGAAGAATAGGTAATGTGATCTTAGACCAAGTTCACCTAGGTTCCAGGTGGTGAGTTGTCAACTCCAATATCCTTGTAAATTAATCTTGTAGGAGATACAGTATTTAAGTAGTTGGGGTGGGGGCATCAGAGAAAACACCTTCTAGTGCTTGGGGAAAGGAAAAGAGGCAAGAGATGTGGTCAAGAGAGAAGGTCATGGTAAACAATTACATTCTCAGGCATCATTCTCTGAGCCCCTGTAACTGTCAGTTTCTTCTGCTGCCTCTCTCTCCCCCTCCCTCCCTCTCTCCCTCCTTCTCCTCCTCCTCTCTCTCTTTCTCTCTCCCTCCCCCATCTCATGATCTCATGCACCTTTAATTCAGACCCAACTCTGCTTAGCTTTCAAGATCAGGTGAGACAGGATATGGTCTGGAGGGTATATCTAGACTCTTTATTTACCTGGAGAACACACATGTATTTTGTGAACTGTTTTCTATCCCCACCATCTTTAGCCCTAATAATTTTAGTTTTATTAAAAACAGGAGTGAGTCTTACACACAAGCACTGGGCTGGTCAACATTAGTAGACTTCCCATTGATCCTATTCTTTTTTCTCCTCTACCATCCATTTTCCAACTTGGCTAATTAGTCCAATGATGTATTCTATAGTTTTTCTCTCCTCCCCTTTCCAGAAGATCCCTACTATGATCAAGTAATATACCATCTTTAGTTATCATGTCTTTTTGTGTCTGAATATGAAATTCTTCCTTGACTTTTATTGACTTCTATGACATACATTTTTGAGAAATTAACCCTGCTTTATTTTTACGAAGTTAG